CGCGGACGAAGCCCTACTTACTTGCATGTGACACATCCTGATCTTGTTTTGGTGTTCTTGGTCCGGTTGGCTCGGGGCCGGCCGTCCACCGCAAATGTCAAAATTCCCGGTGCCTTTCCGGTCCCCTTTGCCGGAGCGGGAGCCGGAGCTGACCCGGGATCCGTCGCCGGTGTTTCCGTGGTTGCTGACATCCCAAATGCTTGAATTGAGTCTTTTTGAGGAAATTTCTTTGGGAGATCCAGGATCTTGGAGCGGGTAGGGCTGATATTTGAAAGGAGAATGCCTGAGGTGCGTGGTAGTTCGTCGAGTCGGAATCGGCTTAGGTGAGAGCTAGGGGTTTTAGGGGCATTGAACGAGTCCACTTGGGCGCCATTCCCCTGCCATTGCCGACTTCTTTGATTCGGTCAATGCCGAAGTTCTCCTCCAGTCGGCAGTGTGACGCACCTTACTCGGCAAAGGCCCAATGGAAATGTTCGATTCCAGTGAAAAGTCCTATTGATTCCAGGGATTCCTTCCTTCGATGCTCCCGCGATGGAGTCATGTTTGCGGCTACGTAGCAGTTTTGCGGCTATGTAGCATTTAACATGTAGGCGAGCATGCGTTCATTGCAGGGGCCATTAGGAATTCAAACCGGCGGTCGGTCTCGACCCATTCCAGGCAACCACGTTGAGGATCGGCTAGTGGAAGTTTGGCGTGTTCGATGCGTGGAAAGGCTCCGAATTCGGTTAAATCAATTGAAGCGTGGCTTTCAGCACCATATGGGTTCCACGAATATCACAATCACTGCCGTTTATTTTCCAAGGGGCGGTGACAGCATTTGATTGGAGGCAGGTGTGAGTGCAGTAGACTTTCCTCATTTGATTGAACTGGAAGATGAGGAAATACCTCTGGTCTGCATCCGTGAGCAAGCAAGCTTGGCCTACAGCCGTTGAGGCCACAACAAGTCAAGCGCTTCGAGGAACAGACGCTTTGGCAAAGGATATCGACAAGATGACATATTCCATGTACCTATTGGTAATCGCAACAGAAATTGTTTGTTCCTTCGTAGTTTTTCGCCTGATAATTCGATATTCTACCATCAAAAATCAATACTTACGTTTTGAGACTCTGATTCCACGCTGAACGTCTCAGAGGCGATTGTATGCTTGGTCTCGTGGTCTTAGCCTAGAGTTGCGAAGGCCTTGAGCAAGCAACAGAAGCAGCTCAAACCGGCAATTCGATTGCCCTGCAGAGGTAGATCGCTGCAGTCATGCGGCACGGCAAGCTTGCTGGCTGGTGATCTCATGCAAGGAATGTTGATAGAACAAGTCTGCAGATCCATGGTAGCTATTTGGAAGTCAAGTGAGAGACTTTCTTCTCGCCTTAATCATTTGCAAGTTGACATCTCCCAAACCAACAAGCAACTACATCTAGCACAACTTCAATCTTGAACACGACAAACACAGCTGCACGACCACCTATGTCCCGATGGCTCGGAAGTTTCGCTCCGACAGGAAGTATCTCATTTCGAGCGATACTGGGGTGCCCATTGAAGTTGCCCTCCGTCGCTGGAGGTTTCAAAGTTCATTCATGTGGTTTATTCGTAACACTTCTTATGGCATTTTTGTGGCTATGCTGTCGAGCTAAAAGTTCTGTCTTTTGATCCAATTGTCCCAGCTAGGCTGCGATGAAGCCACAAAGAGTCTAGGCCGTTTGAATAGCTTTGTCCCATTGTCACAGCCACCCGGCACTCAACGGGCGCCTTGATTTATCCGCTCAGTACACATAGAAGACGGTCGTCTCATCGTTGCTAGCCCTCAGCTTCCTGTTGCGACGCATCATAATGACCCTGGCGACCCAAGCCAACATGGCAGTTGCCGCACTGAAGGCCGCACTGCTCGCCATGGCGATGACGTAGCGGGGCTCATCGCTCTTGGGCCAGAGGTACGGCGTCCAGATGAAGCTGATATTCATGATCATGGTGACCATGGAAATGGCGACGGCCTTCTTTTCCTTCGTCTGGCCACAGACACTACCGCACCAGCCGAGAATCAAGGAGTTGACACCGTAGGTACCTGTAGATGGGTCAGAAAACGCCTTTGAATCTCCAAAAATTCCACTCACCAATAGTGAAAATGCACATGGCAACATAACGACCAGCCATTGACATCGTAGCGGGCGCGATAGCGAACCCGATGATTGCAACAGCCTTGGAAATGGTGATATGCCATGTGCGCTCGTTGAACTTGCCCGACGACCAGGAAACGGCGATGGTGACAGCGCCAGCAATGAGGTAGGGCGGGCAGGTGAGGACAAGAGTCACAGTAGTGCCGAGGCCCAGAGTCTGGACGACCGTAGGGAACTGGGGTCTGTCAGTACCAACGCACATCATCGTTCTGATTTCCGAAACCTACAAAGTTCTTGAACCCGTTGGCAGCAAGATGCATGTGAGCCATGGCGCAAAAGATCCAGACCATGGGGTCCTTTGCGGCCTGCTTGAGACCATTCCAGGTGCTTGTCTCGCCCTTGTTGGCGACGGTGTCAAGCTCCATGCGGTTGTATGCGAGGTCGCGCTCCTCCTGGGTCAACCATCTCGTGTTCTGCGGGAAGTCGGGCAGGAGAAAGTACCCGACGACGGCGATGACGAAGGTGACAGCACCCTGCAGGATGAAAAGCCACTTCCATCCCGCAAGACCTCCAGCACCATCCATACCATAGAAGATACCAGCGGCAATCAATCCAGCGAAGGCCGTCGCAAGGATATTTCCTGTGTACAAGATCGCGATACGTGTAGCGACCTCCTTACGAGTGTAAAACAAGGAGAGGAGGTATACTGCGCCGGGGTAGTATGGGGCCTCGGTCACTCCCAAGAAGAATCGTGTCAAGAGGAGGCCGGTGAAATCTTTGGAAACAGCAGTCAGGGCACTGACGACGGCCCACAGCATCATCATGATTCCCTGTCACCCCCATGAGCGAGCATTCGTACTCAACGGCGACAGAATGCGTACTTACCATGTAACGACTGGGTCGGGTTCGCGTAAGGAACATGTTGGAAGGAATCTGTCCTCTGAATAACGTTAGACACGCTTGTTTGAGTAAGCAATGCTAGCAACATTTACAAGATGTATCCGACAAAGAGGATGGAAACGCAGGTTTGGTATTCTGTAAATCGGTTTTAGCCTGAGGAACAGAAGCTCAAATGTGGTGCCCACAACGTACGGGTACTGGTGAGGTTCAGATCTTCTTCGAGGTCGTTGAGACGCGCCAGCGCAATCGCATTGCGATCGAGGTACTGAAGATACGGGTTAGTACACAGACTTCAGTGAACATATTAGAACCCAACTCACATTCAACCAGTACATAGACCAGAGCATCGGCTGCTTAAGAGTTAGCGCAAGCTATCCCAAATGGCGGGATGGCTACTGACCATGATCCATCGGTCCAGCTTCTTCACAAGCGCAATCTCTTTAGGGTCCGTCTTCTCATGAGCACCAGAGTAGTCCATTTTCCCATTTGTCTTGGGAATAGGCTTCTCAGGGTTCTCGTCCTCAAAGAATTGAGGCTCGATGTCTTTGCCCTTGCCGTCATCATCGACGATGTGGTCGTTGCCGGAGTTTGTGGGTGCCATTTTGTGGGAGAGGTTGCGAGACTTCGCAGAAGTCTTCAGGCTGAGAACGTGGAGATATGAATTGATTGAGACAAGGCTACGCTGGCGTCGCTGAGCACAGAGCACCATGAAGGACAAATCTCAGCTCGTATTATCAGCCGTCGGGATGGGGGCTGTTATGTAGTCATACGTGGTGGAGATGCCCAGACTCTGAGCTCGTGGCACGTCGAGCACAAGGAGCTTGACCTCCCTTCCACGCCGTGCTCCCATGTCGTGCTCGCGATCGACTGGGCTGGGAACATGGGTCTGGTCACATTTGGGACACCCACACCAGTTCACGCCAACAACAAACCTTCTTCATTGTTTTGCCAAGTCATGCCCGACATGTTCCGACAATCCATGATCCCATGGGTTTGCCCAGACGGATAGCGTCCGCGATCTTATTCTTGGAGCGCACAAGCAAACGGTTGGCTGAATGTACGTCGGCTAGCTGCTATTCTCAGCGTCGGCAGGAGGTCTGGTTGTTGGAGTTGTGCTACAGAAGACGCCTTCCAAGAGAATACCAAGCGTGGATAGTGTCACATTTCTTCTCTTCCCCGGCAGCTTGGCGAAAGCTGGTGTAGATCCACGACGAATCTTTTCCCCCTGTTCTCATACTGGGTAGTAATAAAGACTGCCGGACGAGGGTGAGAAAATCCCCGGAGACCTCAAGATGGATGGCAGGAAATGTCTTGGCCATGCGGCCTTCTGACTCGAGGTTGGCCTTCATATCGTCTGTCCAGTGATGATAGGAACCAAACTGACCAGATAGGCAGGAAGACCGATACGATGCTTTTTCTCGGGCGCCACAGATGTTCTAGGGCGCCCGCATCCTGTCGGTGCGTCTTGTGGGCTGCGTCCCGTCTCCGTCCGGGGTAAAGGGGGTTCGGTCGGTGGGGAGAAGTCATCTCATTGAGGGGCCCCGCGTTTGCACTCTCCATCGGTCAGTCTGCCCAGCCGTATGCGAGGTCCTTCGTGGGGTTGATGGGGCTGGATGACATGACTTTGGCTGAACGACAACACGGTGTTCGGTGCGGTCTAGATCCGTATACACTACGAGTGGTGCGCCGAGAGCGAAGTGCATACGGGTTCCAAGAAAATGGCGTACTGCCAAGTGACGCCAACCAGTGCCAACCTGGTTTCAATCTTAGCCAACGTGCTGGGTGAGGTGGTGCACTGAACATCTTACCTGGGTTCCCTTGACGAAGGAGGCGCCACGGAGTGGTCTGGGATGCGAAGTAGCTTGGACCAGGTCATGTCAGACTTGGTCAAGCTCTCATTCTTGGCGCGCCGACGTGAGTTTGTCTTGAGATCGGCAGTTGGGCGACAAGAAAGCTTCCTTTCTGGCACAGCGCGCTAGAATATTTTGCCCGCGCTAGAAAACATCTCCCGCGATTGGAAACATGAACCTATTGGATGAGCTCTTGAAGAAGCATTTCACAGCTTCCGAACGATGAATTAGAGTTACAGCTAGAGCTGTAGACGGGCGTTTGGGGCTCACTGGGGAGCCTTCGTATATGTTAGGCACGGATCTTAAGAGCCACATGGCCCAAAGCTCTGAGATGGGGTCTGGGGTAGCTGAACCAGACTGGCGGTTGCTAATATTAATGTGAAAAGTGGTGTCTGCAGCGTCTCGGAAGATCCCCGTCGTCCAGATGATACAAGACACCCCGGATTTCGAGAATCGCGAATGACCAATTGACCGCGCCGCAATGTTTGTGGTAGCATGCATGGTACTGGTTGATGATGATATGGGATCGCAGGTGACCATCCAGGAAGAGCAGTCTGACCTGTGCATCCTTGTAAAGCACCACTCGTAACCTAAACCGACCGACCTGGCTCCATTCTCATCTCCTCCGAGGTGGGCCATCGCTGCAGCAGACCATAGTAAAGACGAACTCATTGGGGAAATGTTCCATTTGAGGCCTCAGCACCGCACCCGGCGGCGCGTCCCCGGATGTGTCAAAACGAGATTGACAGTTGACACAGGCGGCGCGGCGATGATTCCCCGGATCTCTAGCCCCATATTTGGATCCCAGCTCTTACCGGACCCTACATCTGGGACGACATTGCCTCTCATGTGCGTCCGACTGCAGGCTCGATCCATCGCGGGCCAAAGGTAGCGCCAACAAGCGCGTTATTGAGCTTCTCACAAGTATGAGGCATATTCCTTTCTCGTCCGTCTATCTTTGCGCAGCCTCAGCCACCCCCGCGAGGGGCAAAGGACTGGATCGCCCGTCGCCAAGACATTCTCGTGTAAATTCCAGCGGCCAAGTGGAAGGCCAAGAAAAGCCCAGCGTCAGAAAGCAAAGCTGGGCATGCATGGCCAGCGCTTGTTCTCGGCGACTTGGCGAGAGGGGAAGAGCGAGGGAGTTTTATATGTAGTGAACCACGAAGTTGAGCTAGTTCATTCCGTGAGAACATCGTGCGGGCACTCAATGACCGTTGGATGACCCCATTCCGTCTCCATCTCCCCCAACTTTACCCCAAAGCCCAGCCCCGGCAACCCCCCACAACGGCCACTTTCAGTAAGGTTCGAGGGTTGGCTTTGGTTGGCATTGGAGTTCCCTGGCGCTTGTCGGTGACGCCGGCCTGAATGCCGTCAGTGGCGGCGGGAGGAAGGCCGGTCAGGATGTTCAAGTCAGAGGAAGCCCTTGACCGAGCTCGATGCCCACTGCCAGTCATCTGAGCGGCAGAAACGAAGGCTCCAACAATATCCATGATTCAGATTGTGTGCTCAAGATTGGCAATCCCCATGGGGTAGTCGCGTGGCCAGTGGGGGACGAAAAACTAATGGTGCATACCTCGACCTGTGCGGCCGCTTTTGATGGCAGGACACCCCCAATGCTACATGTACAGTTGATTGAAGGATGGGACAGACCAGGTTCGTCAATAGCACCAGCCACCGCTCTTTCGGCATCTTTCGACATGCAGGCAGTTTTGGGTCAGTTATATTGACCGCCATCTTGGTAATTCCGACGTTGTAGAGTCGCATTCTAACTTAAGTGCAGCTGGAGACTCTGCCAATGAGCCGAAAGCAGAACCCTGGAATTCGACCAGCTGCTTTTACCGATCACCAATCACCCACCTCCGTTCGGATTCATTTGACCGCACGCCATACCACCACATTGCCTCTGGCTGCGCGGAGACCAAGTCGTCATCAGAGACAAATAGGTTGGTCCTTTTCGTGTGCTCACCTGCGGAGGGTAGTGCAAATGCATCAGATAGTCATAATCATCGAACTTCTTGCCAGTCGGTCTGAATAGCATGGCGTATTGATTTCCCTTATCTACGTTGGGCATTCAAGGTCGAACCTTCAATCCAGCCAGCACAAACATGGACATACAGATCACAGCACCGACTGCCCACACCTTGAACCGAAGCGGAGCTTGGTCCTGCGCAAGCGTTTCTCTCTCCTGGTGCCAAACATAAACGTACGTGTACAGCACACGGCTTGACAGCCAACTTATCGAGAGGAAGTTCATGACAGGTGCGGAGATGCCCGCAGAGTTAGCCGCCGTCACTGCGGCGGCGTACAGAGGAAGAGCCTCAAAACCATTGGCTGAGCAGGCTTCAGCCCGCAGCAACCGTCCCCGAAGCTAATTCCCAGTCAACGTTAAGCTCTTCAGGTTCGACTTCTTCGCTTACTTTTTCATCCAAATCGGCCTTCTTGAGGGTTTCAGAGAATTCTCTTGGATTCTGTCGATCGAAAAGCTTTTTTCCGGGGCCTGCAAGTCCCGAGTAGAATCGCGGACCAAGGGCAAGCGCTAGTGCCAATGGAATCTAACAATGGCCGTCAATTATCCGAGTTAGAAGGGAAGAAGGTATCCATGGATGTTCAAATTTACCGTGAAATACGATATGTTGTTGCTTAAGCCTAGTAAGCTTGTCATGATGTATGGTAGTGTTGGTCGAATGCCGAGGATGTAATCGATTAATGAGGCGCGGACGAGAAGTATTCGCTAGGTATCATCCGCTCGCGTCCCTGATGTTGCAACATTTATGAGAGCCTTAGAACCCGATGATGCTTACCAACCATGACGATGATACAGCGCGCTAGTAGCAGTCTAAGCCATACTGCGTTAGCGAACCCCTGATAACCTTGCATTTGACCAGTGCATTTCCTGCATGCGCTACTTGATTTCCACACCCATCTCTTCTATCATCTTCCCAACCAAAGAAAGACGGACGAATTCTGCTTTTACGTAGAGTAAATACAGTTCGCCATCGTCCACATCCTTCGTGCGTGAAAAGTTGTCTCATGGACTGGACTTCATAATCATATTGCGACCGCCTGGATCTTCAAATTCCCCAGGGCTGGTCGGGACATCTAAACGGTGGAGGCCCGAATAACAAATTATTACATGTGATCGATCACTGGATAGAGACCATGACCGAATCTTCCTGGGATCTATGTTGGAGGAACAATCTCCCTCGGCTGAATGTGGTGCCGCGAATCTAGCCCGCGTCCATCCCCTATGACAAGCTGGAACCCCGAGTATTCACAGTCTGGATGTCAACCCCAACGCCCCCCAAGTCCCAATGACTACTCCTGACGTGGCTCTGAAAACAGCGGATCCCTTCTCGCCTTCCCGCCAGCAGACATATCCATCGACCAGCCTAATGTACACCAAGAGGGCCATGATGATGTCCACTGCAACGTAATCCCCGCGAAGATACATGATCAGCTGTGCCGTTCCCAGAACAGATAACCGAGCGCCATCAATAAGGAAGCATGCCTGTGCAATAGTCGACTCTGCAAATCTTTCTGGGAGCCCGAACGAGCGAATTCCAGCGTCCTTATGGTGCAATCGGATGTGTGCTAGGAGCTAAAAACCAGGACTTTTGACCCCTGCCGCTACTGTCTTAGAGGCCTTGTCGTACTACTGTAACTAGTAATTAAGGCGTTAATTTACTACTTTCTTAATATATTATTTTACTATAAATAGATTACTAGTATAAGGTCTTTATTAGTATTAAATTTTTTGTAGAAGAAGGTAAGAGATAGGGAGTTTATTAACTCCTATATCTTCTTTTATAGTTAGATAGTAATAATAATAATAGCTATTATAATAATAATCTTAAGTATTCTTTTTAATAATAAAGAAAGTAATAGTATTTAAGATAATATAGAGATCCTTAATATTAGAGAGGATATAGAGATACTCTTATTACTACTATATTAATATTATACTTCTTATATTTTATTAATAGTAAGGGTTATTTAGTTTTATAAGGCTTTATAGCTATTCCTTATCCTAACCTAAGAATAGGTTAATAAAGGGAACTTATTTAATAATTAAAGTCTATATATTAACTATATAATAAGTAATATCTTACTATAGATATAAATAGAGTTCTTAGAGCTACTAAGATATACTTAGAAACCCTTTATTAATAAGTTTAAGTTCTTATTATATAAATAGTATAAAGTTAAAAGCCTCTTCTATTTAGGTGTTAAGTATAATAATAAGTCTAATATAATATATATATTAGAAGATTATTAGTAGGATTTTATTATTAAGAACTCTTATTTATAAATTATTAGAAAGAAAGGCTTCTTATTTATTAATAAGTATAAAGTCTTATAGCTTAACTAAGTATTAATAAGCTAGTTTATTATTAAAGTAAGTAGTATTAATATTATTAAGATTACTTCTAATAATAAGGATAAAGTAGAAGAGGTTAGAATAGCTTTTAGTAAACTTTCTTAACGCTAAAAGAAGAAGTAGTTAAACTTTAATAACTTTAAAGATAATCTTATAATAAATACTGCTATACTTATTATAACCTTATTAATAGAGCTAGTTTAATACTACTTAATAAGGTAAAGTGAGGAGAGAAGTTATTAGTTTAATAAATTTAATAAGTATATTAAGAGGGGGATTAATTAACTTAGAGAAGTAATCTCTACCTCTTATAAAATAGGGTTAGGTAATATTAACGCAGTAAGCTATAATTTTTAAGCATTATTTAGGCATTATATTAAGGCTAATATAGCATCTTATCTTACTTAATACTTTAGAGCCTATATATTAGAGGTAGTTACTTAGTTAAGTATTAAATTAATTAATAAAAAAGAGGCTTTTTTAGCTAAACTATAGTTAAATAAGCTTAATATTATACTTAATAACTAATTATTAATTTATTTACTAGTGTTTATTAGTTATTAAATAATATATAATTTTTTTCTGTAATTATTAGCCTTTTTTGCTAAGTTAACTATATTAAAAAAAAGAGCTTTTTTTCTCTCTACCTCTAGTGTTAACTCTAACGTTAAAATTAATATTAATATTAATAACCTACTTCACTAGCTAACCTCACGCTATATAACTACTTTAATTATATTATTATTATTACTACGCTTATTATTATTATTATCCCTCCTTTAAGCTTACTTTACTTTAAAAGCTTCCTATACCTAAATTACTATATTATATTATACTACCTTACTAGCCCTTATACTAACTACTTTATTTACCTACCTTCTTATTATCTCTAATACTTAATCCTATATAAAGTTAAGAGGTATATTATCTTACTATTTAAAAGTAATAAAGTTATAAACTATAGTTACTATATATATTATTCTAACTTAATTTTTATAAGAGTACTCTATTAAGTAGTTCTTAAGTAGAAGCTACTATTTTTTTATATTACTAAAGAGGTTTTTAATCCTCACTTTTCTACTAGTATAAAGTATATTATATACTTCTTTTACTAACGCTATATTAATATAAGCCTTTATTTTAGCTTAATAATACCTCTTACTAAGGAAAAGTATTAAGATACCCCTCTTATAGGTAAATCTAATATCTTTAAAGTAGTACTAACCTATTAATAAGTTAAATAATTAATTATATACTTACTATATTAATACTATATTATTTATAGATCCTTTTATACCTATTAGTATATATATAAATATTCTATTAAATTAGATCGTATAAAGTATATTTTATTATAGCTAGCCTTTATAACTAATAAACCTCTTTTTTATCTATATAAGTATATAAGTAAGTAAGAGAATCCTATCTATTACTCTAATATAGCTTATAAAGTAGCTATACTTATCCTTTAGCTTAATTTAAAGTAATATATATAAAGTATCTAGTTACTTAATAACTTTATTATAGAGGGTAATAAAGCTAATAAGTACTTATTAATATATCTCTAAGATAATACTTTATACTACTTAAAATTTATTTAAAGTTATATACTAATATACTTTTTAGCCTAATATATATAAGCTAATTATTAGCTTATACTTAAAGCTTTAATACTAAGTATCCTTAATAAAGTTATAGTATTATAGTTAAGCTATAATATTTATAAAGTTCCTCTTTAAAATATAAAATATCTAATAGAAGTTATTATAGTTATTATATAGTAATAAAGTAGTATACTCTAATACTTACTTTATACTATTAAAGTATTAAATTACCTAAAAGCTAAGCTTATTAATAATATTATTAATTAGAACTATAATAGCTATAGCTATAGTTATAGTAGTAATATTAGTAATAATAGTAAGTTATTAAGAGGTATTTATTTTAATACTTAGAATATAACTAATATAGAATAGAGATATATAAAGTCTACTTTAGTACTTAAATCCTAATATTAGCTTTATTTTTTAATATATTAAACTAGATAGTAAAATCCCTTAAGAGTATACTAGTTATTCCTAAAGTATACTATCTTATCTAAGGTTTTATAGAGTAACTTTTTATAAAGCTAAGCTAGTACTAGTATAAGGGGGGTATTATTGGATTTAGTAAAGTGCCCTAAAAAGCTAATAATTAGGGAAATTATACATACTTACATCATCAACAAACCCTGGTTTTTAGCTCCTGGCATACATCCGATTGCACTATTAGCGAAGAATGGAACGATTCCGCTGAGAGTGTGGGCGCCACCCACGAACAGCGGGAACAGATGAGCGAGCTTGAAACGAGACGGCATATCTGCTTATAGTGGGATTGACCGTACTGATATGGAATCTGGAGCTTTTGGGCGTAGTACAAGATATTATCCGAGGATAGAAGTCTCCAAAGCGTTTGGTGCTTAGAAGTCGAGGCGATCTCAGATCAAGGAAAGTGTGGACCATCTGACATCACGTGGTAGTAAGCACTTAGACCTATCCGGCAGCCAAGTGGACATCAATTTTTCTCGCTGATGCCTCATGCGGGAAGTCATAGTAGTTGACCAGGTAAAAAGGCGAATCTACTGCAGGTGCTCATGATGGGGCATGTCAACGGTTTGGTCAACGTCTCCTGTTTGAGCCATAGGACTTGATCCAGCAACGATATCACAACGTTTCAATTTGATCTGTATATCCATTCAACCAGAATAACGTAAATAATCTCAAGGTATAATTGAATAAGCGCCTGGCCATGCTGATATTCATGTTTCACATAAGGAAAACCGGCGCTCTTTGCAACTGCTCCCGAATGCTAATTAAAGATCTTCACTCGACGAGTCAGACTCTCCCGGAGGGTATCCGGCGGGAACTGATCCAATCAACGTCTTTGCATCTGCAAGATTGATTCCTGGCGGGTCAATCTCTGGAAACTTGATCAGGAATTTGACTGCAGGAATCATTTCCGTCCCGTAGTTGGCCGACTCTTCCAAAATGAAATTGTTTTCCAATAGTACATACAGCTGCTTGTACGCATTGTGTACTGCCGCAACCGCAACTCCTTTGCCGTTATGTTCCCACCACCTCATCAAGCAATCAAAACAATAACTTCTGTTCCAGTGATACGTTGCGTCCATTCTATGTTGTGAAGTCCATGACGAGCCTCCGTGGGCCATTACGAGAGTGGTGAGCTCGTTCAGTCGACGTCGATCATGCAGATCGACAACTTCCACGAAATGAGTCGGGGTGTCACATGCTGAAGCCCCGTGCATGTTCTCGTAAGTCCATTCCGACGACTCATCTTCGCCAAGAAATGAAGCAGAGGCCGTCAAATCTCCTGATGTCCGATTCCTCAAAGGGTAGACGGTCCCATAGCGAGTTGGTTTGTCGGAGATCACAATGACGATTGTTTGCACGACGACGCGTAGCTTTGGGACTAGATGAATGCCGAGGCTAAGGATCTTGTCGAATCGGGCAAATGCATGCTTTTGTTTGAGTCGCTTAAAAGAAATCGCAATGCTGCCGAGAGTTGATACGGCGTCGCCAATTTTGATGGTGACACCGCTGTAATGGGTACCATATGGTCCCATACTCAATCTGTCAGATGGTGTGATCCATGTCGTCCGTCTCGTTCTGACGTCCTTTTCGTTATTCAAGAGCCACATCGACGATGCTCTGTTGAAGATTGCGTGCATGCGTGGCCGAATAACTCCCCAAGCCTCACGGCATGCAAGTGCGGGTGCGGGGATGGAAAGACGACGATTCCAGCACACAGCTTCCGTCAGAATGTCACTGATGTGAATCGTTCGTTGTGGAATCGAAAATAGCCAAATCGTTTGACGAATTTCTGGTGGTAGCTCTCGGAACTTTGGAAAGCTTTGAGGGGGCGCAGAAGGTGGGAAACTTCGGAAACTGTCGGATTTATCAAGGAGCTCGGTCATGAAACGACAGTCATCAGCGAGATTCCCGCCTATCATGGTGTTTGTCAGAAGCTCTCTCAGTATGTCTTGAGGTTGTCGAGGGGATGGATCCGGTGAGTCAAGGGATGAGTCGAACCAAGCATGTTGCAAATGCTTGCAGCTCTTGACTCTCGTCATGAGATACTTGCGCGCACAATCATCGCTTGTTAAGGTAGTGCAATGATGCACCCAAGTGTCTGTTACGAGAATGACTTCTTTGTCGTGTGCGCCGCGTTTACTGATATGAAACGTAGTCTATGGCTGCCTAATGAACCACAATTCTGCCTAAATTAGGCGGGGCATGGCAAGGAAAAGACGGGGTGTTTCCGAGATATCCAGCAACCTTTTCCAAACGATCAATTCCACGTCAATTGACTCATCAAGATGTCTCATTTGCGATCAGCCCTGTTGTTGAAGTCAAGGGCCTCCTGCGAGCCTTGAGGCAGCAGCCTGTAGGACTGCATCGTTGAATAAGCGGGGCGGATGATGAACTGTAAGGTACGTATGCAATAAGCGATGTCCGTTGATGTTTTCATTTATAAGGAACCTGGCTTCATTGCCAGTGGCAGATGCAGTGAAGCCTTCGCAATATCTGCACTTAGTGGGTATCTGGGCTGGTGTCGTAATTCAAGCCAGGGGGTCCATCCTGAGCTTCTTTTCTGGGTCTAGGCAAACCCTTCACACCATCGGCTGGGGTCCTGAATTGAGTCGTGAGATAAAGACTGACGACAAGAAGATTGACCCAGGCCGGCTCGCTGTCATCTTCGACTTGAAAGACACGAGACATTCTGCTCAAGGAGCCTGTTCACACAGCCGCCGGCCCGCCTCGTCTATGCGGAGTCGGCGACTCGGCGATGGCACGGAAGACCCTTAACCCCCCGGCTCAATCCCCATCGCGAAGTCAAAGCCCCCGGCGCTTTGACATCGGGCTTTGACATCATTCCGTCTTTTCAATCCGTGTAGATCCAGTAAAAAGGCCGAGTTCCACCTGTTGATTAACTCGATTCCACGTTGTTTACAGGACAGGCCGACTTCGATGCCGATCTTTGCACCCACATACGGAGCGCGACTCTTTTGGACGCTGGGGCGCCGGCGCATTTTCCACAAGACAAACTTCAAAAGTCCGCATCCTTGCTGCGAAATCGAATTCAGGGCAGCTCTGCACTGTTCACCTGCTCGCCCCACGCCTCGCTACCAAGATCCAACGTCCTTCCACGAAACATTTGCGCCCAATATGGCACCCTGAAGTTTGGTTCAGACAGAACTGCCGCGCGCGGTCCTTCGCGACCGGAAAACCACCAGCAGCGAGAAAAGTCGCGCAAAGCTGGCGTGCGAGAGTCATGGCCGGTGGATGAGTAAGGACGGGATTCAAGAAGCACTTCGGGTTTTCGAAATCGCCGAGCGGCGGATAAGAGGGCTGCAGTCGGTTGCCGCCAAGACTCTGAAGAGGGACTGCCCGGTCGCAAGCATAGACGCATCCATCGTGTCGGTTCTGCCGTGGGACGAACTCTGTCTGCACTCTATTTTTCGGTTCATCCGACACGAAAAAAGTCTGGTGCGATGAATCGTTTGGTAGGAATCGGAATGGCACCAGACACCTGATCCAGACGGCTGGATATTTATTGAAAATCGAAATCCATCGGAAGTTAACACACGAAGCTTATCTCCGGGCCGCTGGTCGCCCGCGCGGAGTTGACTACTTGTTGCAATGGGCTCTATCCACAAAAATGCTGCGTGCCGAAAACTGTTGGTGGCTTGGTGCAGGATCCGATGGACCGATCATAAGTTCCTGCAGAGCGGCTGAGCGAGTTCTGCAGAGGCTGCAGAGGCTCCAGCCGCCCACTTCTACCGCAGTACTATTGCATAAGAGGTCCCGTTGAGAAAAGCGTCGGGCGTCTCAGAGTTTACGTGAGTTCAGGTTTGCAGTCCCAAGCTGCGACCTTGTTGACACTTAAATCACCTCAAGGCGTATCAGTGTCACCAAGAAACCACGTGCGGGCGGCTTAATGCTGACGCAACAATATAATGGTCACTATTTTAATATGTAGGACGGCAGGTATGGTTGCAGTATTGGCCAAACTGCGAGTCAGGCTGCGAATTCGGCTACCCTTCCGGATTAGCACCAATACCTTGTGTTTCCTCCACAGGAATAGGCGACTGGCCAGGGCCAGGGGTTCGTTTCGGGAAGATGGGGAATCGGCTCCCAAAAAGGCTCCCGCGTCGAGAGCGAGTCATCTTCCCATGCAATAGGATGCCATCTTGGAACCCATATGGCCCATATCGGATGACAAGCAGCAGCAAGCAGGAAATCCCGCCAACACCGCGGCCGTCAACCCCCACAAGGGGGCTGCGATGCCCCCTGGTGGGCCGTTTCGAGATGGCCGTCGGGTGGTACATCAAAAACGTGGCGGTCCCCGTCTGAGCGAGCAGAGGAAAGCTCGGCCCCTCCGTTCTGGTTCTTGCTGCTCGTCATGCTATTTTGGATTCCATCGATGACGGTGCTGCGCGAGAGGCAGTCGTGATGGTGTTCCAACTCCCGACGGCCGTCCTGCCAGACGCCGCCGGGGTCATCTTCTATTCTTTTGTTTGTCTAATTGCCAACATCCTGTTGGTGTGGCTGACCTGGATTCACAATGACAGGACAAGCTGTATGTACAAACGCCCTTCATCTTCGTCCGATACGAGGCCGCCATCGAGGCCACCATCGAGGCCGAGCGTGTAGACCAATGAGACTAACATCAGACGATCACAGACATCGCCTGTATTTCGTATGCCACTTTAGTCGTCACCACGACCAGCATTGCACAACAATTCTATGACTACGCGTTATGGAGAGACATCCTGACGGATCAATTCTACTACGCTAGGCAACATGCCGACAATTCAGAAGTTCAGTACTTCAAGGGGTCTCGGGGTGTCAAACTCATCTTGAGCTACGTCCGTATGTTTACTTGGAGACGGGAAGAATCTAGCAGAGTCTGACAGACTTTCACAGGAATATTCGGCTTCACTCTCGAATCGACTTTTGTTTTCTTTTTGTAGGTCAATTCACCATGCATGATGGGGTAAACCAAACGTCTAATTCCGAGTAGCGCTTTGTCATTGGCGGCCAGTGTTTACGGGTGGTTTGCGACGACCCCGAGGACAACACGAACGATCTCGATCATTGGCAGAGTCTTGCCCTTCATGCTTACAGCGATTACCGTTGGTTTGATGCACTCGCCGGTGGCACAAAATTCATTTCTGGTGTACATGATTGTTGCGAACACGCAATGTAAGCGAGATCTCACAATCCCCTTTGCAAGACAAGACATCTGGACTAACTTGCAACGTAGTCGTGCTTAGCCTCTTAGGTAGCGCCGTCTTACTACTCATGATCTTGTTTAAATACGTCCACTCCCGCCGAAACCTTCAGACATGGAACGTCCTCTATGGAAATGCCGGTTCTTTGGAGAGCAGCGCAAATGGCAGCAAGTCACGGTCTGTTTGGCTAGGGAGCAACACGAGCCGAAGTGGTGGAGGAAGGAGTCGGGCTTACAGCGGCGCTGGCGCCAATAACACGTACGACAGCTGGCTCGTCATCCGGCTTTCCATTGCATTTTGCGTTCTTTGGTAGGCTTATGGTACTCAGACCATTTTAAGCCAGAGGACTAATCTCAAATGCAGTGTCTTTGAATACACCAACGTTATCCCGAAAATCGCAGCCTCGAACCATACGATCGACCTCGCCGACGACTTGCAGCCCGATCTTAGCGACAAGCGAGGACGTTCGAGCGTCCGAGGATATGTGTCTGGTGTTACGCCGAGTCTCGTCGCGTTTCTGGTTTTTGGAACTACGAAGACATTCCAACGAAAGATGTATGAAACGTTCGTCCCGAGGAGTCTCCAAAAGCGGAGGAGAGCAAAGAAGAATCTGTCGATATCAGTCGGCAACTCGAGACAATCGCCGCATGTACAACCCACCAAGCGACCGAATCAGGCAGTGGACCAGTTCACTCTCAGCGATCTCACACCGAAATTCCCCATGGGAAACTACAGCCCCCAATATTCTAGTGACGGAAACCTAAGCCCGAGACAACCACACGGAATGCAGTCAAACCCCGGTTCAAGAGCCGGGTCGCCACGATATGCGCCCAGTTCACGATACGTGCCTAGCTATGCACCAACTACATCAACGTTCGCTTCTACTCCGGGATTCCCTCAGCCCAGCCCGGCGGGCCTTTCGGCACCTCCACCACCGCGGCCACCTCGACCGATGACCGGGTTGACAGGGGTCAGTGTTATCAGCCCAAGTCTACACTCGAAATTCTCAAATTTCAGTCGTCCACATACAATGATGACGACGAATAAGGAACTACCAAAAACTCCGATTGAGGAGGAGAGCTTTCCTGAGAGGTTCCGTTACGCGTAGCCGAGACGCGCAGGTTTCATGCTGGAGGGGAAATAAGGGAGGTGTATACTACAATGTAATAGATTACATAGATAATGACTTCATTTCAATGACATATTCTTATGAATATTGATGCATGCTCTTGATTATCCTCACTTGTTGAGTATATTGTGATCGGAGATGCAAAGATTGCGTCGTACCCCTCACATTCTGCGACAAGCCTCCCCTTGCAACTTAACAGCAAGAGAGACTAATCGAGAGATCCATATGGCTAATTCTATCACATCTCGCATTCTAGAAGCCTTCCTGTCAGGATGAAATTTTGGGTGTGATCGACGTTTCAACCGTGGTTGGTCATGCATCAACACACATGATCCTCACCCGAGATCCTCGTACAACACTAGTGGCCGAAATAAGAACGGGAATCTACTAGGTACGATACAAGCAAGAAAATAATTGTTACATCCGCGGCCCATGATGGAATTACTTTGTCCGTGGAAAAAAGACTGGATTTGAGCGTCATGATCAAATGTCCTTTTGAAGCTGAACCAATGTGGCTGCTGGATTAATCAGCTCAAGATGAATACGAAGAGGACCGCCTAACTGCTGTAGTAGCCTTCTCTGTCCAATATACTACTTCTAGAATCATATACGCACAATTATAGCCGACCCCCAGAACGCCATGGGTATTGGGTATCGGCACAACGATCCTTCCGGTGGCCTCCCCTCCCCGAGTCTGTTCTCTCTTCAAGCATGCCTGAAGTCCCCCTTTTCCACAAAAGTTTTGTTCCCAATCAATCGGTCGTTGACAAAAGAGCGAACCGCCTCGTAATACCCCGGCGACATGTCCCCATACTCGATGCAATCAGAGCCACACGGGACAGGCACCGCACGTTGCCCTTCAAGTGATCCAAGAGCTGTGGCCATATTCATGCACGCCGGGGGAAGGCCAGTCACGCGGATATGGTTTTCCTCGATAGGTCCATTGACGTTGATCGGCGTGTTCGAGACCTGGACTTGGTCGAAACAAGCATCCCAGGCATACTGAGAAGGTCCTGCGGGAGCGCTGCCAGATTCGTCTTCTTCTTTTCGCTTGTTGATCTCTGCTTCAATCTCCATGACCATTCGGCGGGCGTGTAGGAAGGCAACATCGGCTCGTCGGTCCTTGCCGCCCGCCTTGAGACCTCCCTTGATGATCCCGGCGACTTTCGTGCCTGCAACAGTTGCGATGCCGATGAGAGCCGGTGGGGCGGGGGTGCCTTGGAGGAAGACAATTGCGGTGAGAATGACACCGGCAAAGATTGCGTTGGTCTGCATTTTGCTGATCAGGAGAGAGCGAAAGTCCAGGCTTGGTCGAGGAGGAGTTGACGGTGACGATGGCCCATGTGGAATAGATGAGAGCCAAGATTATCGAGATTTGTAGCATCTTTATACAGCCGATGTTGGCTATCCATAATGCGATGCTGGCGATGACAGAGGCAGGATCAAGCCGTTTTCGTCGAGAACACACAGAGGCACCTACTCAAAAAACCATTTGGTACCGTCCGACGGGCTTCCTTGACGACTAGGAGCCAGGGTAAAGGAATCAAAAGAGCAATGAGGGCCGTGCGATGATTTCTTTGAGGTAGTTTAAATGCTTGTTTGCTCCCATGAATGGAAATGAATCAATCTGAGGCTGTATATCACCGTGGCAAGCCGTGCTCCCAAACCGGACTGTCAAATTGAAGGAGTCTTCTGCTTGGTTTACCTGGAGCCCTCGTGCAGTAAAATCCAAAGACAACTTGCCAATTGAGCAATTTGTACTTGATATACTCCACCACGTTCGTTCATAAATCGTGTTTACTAATTCTTCATGCGAATTGCTCCTATTATCAAGTACCAACTGAATCACCTTCTCCATCCCGTCCGCGTTACGCTTCTTATTCTAGGGTCCGTTCGAGGTCAACATGCCATCGCGCCGCGTCCCTTCCGTTTTGCGCCTTCTTGAGCGCAGCTTCATGGCCTGGAAGGCCTTGACTCTGGCTACCAACTGCGCCTACCCAGCAATGGTAGTCCTCTCAGAGTCGATGGAGCCTGCCTTCTCCCGAGGAGACATCATCTTACTTGCCAACTGGCAAGAAGTCGAGGTCGGTGACATCCCGGTGATTTGGTTTCAGGGACAGCTCCTCCCTATGGTGCATCGAGCCGTTGAGATCCTGTTTGAGTAAGTTTGGACAACCAAGTGTCTTTTTCCAGTAGTCCCTTTTTGCGTTGGAAGACATGCTCTCCCTAAGTCAGGGGTCGTGAAACACAACGGTCTGACGAGCTCTTTAGTGATGGCCAGGAGCGTTTGATCTTGACAAAGGGCGACAACAACGAAATCAATGATGTGGTACTATATCCCTTTGGTCAGACACACGTACGCCAAGACCAGGTGCTTGGGCTTGTGCGAGGTTACATCCCATTCCTAGGCATGTTGACAATCACTGCTCAGGGGCTATTATCACGCCTAAAGTCCCCTCTAAGTCTGTTTTCGAAGATGGCTCGTTTGTCTCGATGCGTTCAGCAGAGCAGGTCTTGGTGCTACGCTTCTGATCAGTTGTTCGACTGAGCCCACGGGCTGATGTCGTATCCACCTAGAGCACAGTCGATAGTAGGGAGGCAGACTTTCTCCAGTGTCTAAAAGAGAGCGAGCTACTAGCTATTTAATATGACGAGACCGTTTGACAATTTTACTTGCTTGATTGTAATAAACAGATTTGATGTTGGCTATGGCGTTGTCGGCCGGTGTATCTAAAGATGCCCTCAGACCGCCACTGCTTTTCGCCGCCTCTGCAACTCTAACGACAGTGGCCCTACACTTCCCGACTCATACGCATAGGTCATTCTTTTTCCCGGCATGGCTACTTGCAGCATGGTCGTTACTCTCTGTTGATGAGGATAATGCATCATCGTTGATTGGTCTAGGCTCTTACACGGTCATTACAAGCTTCATATTCATGCTCATACTTCCCAACATTCTCTTCGGACAGAGTCGCTTAGTGTTATGCAACAAGCCAAAGACACGAAGGAGCGCATACTGTCCTCAGTCACAGACCATCTCAGCGGCATGCTGGATTTGGAACAACCCTCGTCATCTGACCTTTCGCCTCAACACCACGGCGACATGGTCTTCTCGCGCTCTTTTCATCATTCGGCGAGCATTGAAGGTCGGCCTGCTTCTCGTCGCCAACAGCTTTGTGAATAAAGCCCACATATACCTCAAAGCCGACCTCTTAGACTTTACTCCGGATAAATATCCAATCATCCGCCCCATCATCTCACAAATAGTCTTCGATTGCAGCCGTGATGACTGCACTTACAGCCCGGTATCACAACGCCAAATCTTTCTACGTATCTTCACGGTCTTCTCCTGGATATGGTCCAATTTCCTAATCCTCGAATCATACCACGCCATCCTATCCACAACTTTCGTCCTCCTCGGCATCGACAACCCAAAAGAATGGCCACCTTTGTTCGGCAGTATAACCGACGCCTGGACCGTCCAACGTTTCTGGGGCCGCTTCTGGCACCGCATCGCGACGCCCACACTCACAACATGGACACACACCATTCTGCGAATCAAGAACGAGCCGCAGACCACGTTTGAAAAAGCGGCCGTCGCATTTGGCGTGTTCTTCCTCTCTGGGATCATGCACATGACGGCTGCCTGGAGAACCGGCGAAGGATACCTGCACTTGGACGTGGCGTTCTTCTGTGCCAATTTCTTTGCGATCGCAGTTGAGATCGCGGTGTCCCGCGCGTGGATGCAGGTGGTCAGACGAGCGAAGCTGAAGCCTGGGGCGGAAGCACGGGTGTGTCTAGCTAGTCGCTGGTTTGGCTACTTGTGGACCTTTGCATGGTTCTTCTGGATGGCGCCGAGGTGGTTGTATCCCAAGACGCTGCGGTGGTTAATCAAGCAGGCTCTGGCACAGTCTCATACGCTGCTGTGATGATCTGCGGGCTAGACTTGGAATGGTAGTCATTTTTAAAGATTTCAGGTGGCATTTGTGCTCAAAGTATGTGGAACAGACGTGGGGTTTGTCAGAAGTGCAACTATTTAATGGAACAGTTCGCCTCACTATTACGGTTTTCCATGCTGCGCCAGGCAACAACCGCAAGGCAATGTGCACTTTGCTGTTTATATAAGACAAATCTAGCCAATCCGGGCCTCTGTATTGGCTATGAACCAGTATGAACTACTATTGTGTACTTGCATGGAAACTCGTATCTTGGGAGCCGAGACTTTGAATCATCTACTATCCATAAACCGAATAGTTCTGATGGTTTTCGTTGGGTTTGAGTGGTCGCTTCGGAGGCACAAATCTCGCCCCAAATTCGCTTTGAAGCCATCTGACCAGTGTAACATTGAACTCATCAAAATCGTCAACCCATTGGGTGTGTAGTCTACGGTGAAGTATAAAATGCCTCCGACATGATGCACCACTCATCGTAATGCCAGACGTGTCGCACTCCATCTCGCTCATCACCCTAACTGGTTTTCATCAGTCAACAAGGCACGATGACGAAACATGCCAAATCAAGCAAAGTCTCCAAGGAACTGAAGCAGAGCAATCCATGGAGTGATTGGATATGGTCCGAGGACCACGGGCGATACTATTGCTACCGGACCCGTAGCAACGGAGGTAAGCTCACCTACTCCTACCAATTCTTCACCAGTAGCATGTACTGACATCCCCCGAGAAATCGAATACGAATGGGACGAAGGAGAACCCACCGAAGAGCGTGCAATCGAGCCGGCCATTGAGCAAGATAGTCCCGGTGACCGCACACCTACCCCCGCGCGGAGCGGCCCCATCGTGAGATCGGAGATCACTTACACGGACAACGAGGGGAATGTCATCAAGATTGTCCACAGATATCCTCCGGATGATGTTGTGAAGGATGAGGTCACTGTTGACGGCGATGATTGGGCCATTGTGCCGGCCAAGGCTGGCAACACTGGTGTCGGGGACGGTTTTGCGGATTCATTCTGGGGAGATGTGGCGGAGGTTCGAAGAGATGGCGCACGCCCGTAAGGAAATGAGATGCAACGAAGGAGAGGCGGGGGCAATCACGATGCACATGGCAAGCCTGCAGTGGTGTGAGAAAACATCATACATCTCATTAGAGCCCAGAATCCACAAGGAATGGATTACGAATCGCACTACATTACTATCTCCCATGACCGCATCATGAGAGAATGGGTATCAAGCTTCGTATCGAAGCACATTAGTCGTCACTTTGACGGCATTATTTAAACGCTCTCATGCTGAGTCTCGTGAAGACCCTTCTTCTCGGCGTGGATAGCGTTCTCCTCCAGCTCCTCGGTGAGGCCGACATCGCGTCTGGCCTGCTCGAGCATGATACTGTCCTCAGCGCCAGTGTTGCTACCGAACACGCGGTCCATCTCCTCCAGCGTAGCACCCTTGGTCTCGGGCAGGCAGAAGTGCACCCAGAGAATGCCGCAGAACAGGAAGACGGCGAAGAAGAGGTAGGTTCCCCACTCCCAGGCCTCGAGCATCGAGGGCACGTAGAAGGCGACGGCGAAGTTGTTGAGCCAGTTGCTTGAAGCACCGATGGACGCTCCCTTGGCACGGATAGACAGCGGGAAGATCTCGGAGACGAGGGTCCAACTGACAGGTCCCCATCCAGCACCGAATCCAGCGATCTACAGGACTGTTAGCAACGATGTTTGGGATAGTGACGTGATGGTGGGGTGCTTACGTAGAGCCAGATGAAGGCAACGGCGACCCAACCTTCAACGGGGTGGCCAGGCCAGTCATGGCTGAACTTGGCGACGATAATGGCAGGGATAATCATAGAAATCAACATGACGATTGAGCTGACGATCAAGATGGGCTTGCGGCCGACCTTGTCGATGATGGCCATGGCAGGCAGGGTGGAGACGAAGAAGACGACACCAGTAACACCGGTGGCAAGGAGGGCGGTGGTGCCGCCAGTGAGACCCAGGCTCTGGAAGACGTTGGAGGCATAGTAAATGATGGCATCAATACCAGACCTGCGGAATCGTTAGCATTCAAAGAAGCTTGACTAGCGCTGCTTGACATACCATTGCTGCCAGAACATGACCAGCCAGGCGGTCGCGACACGCTTGAAGTGGGACCACGAGCGAAGAATCTGCCAGTACTGGGCAACCTCGCGCATCCAAACGCTGGTCTTCTCCTTTTCGGCCAGCTGAGGGAACGCCTTCTGAAACGAACGCTGCTCGAAGAGGGCCTCAGCCTTAATCTCCTTGAACTCGACCTGGACGAGCTCGCTCTCAACATCGAGCTTGCGGAGGTAGGCAATGGTCTTGACAGCCTCCTCGTCACGGCCCTGCTTGACGAGCCAACGAGGGGAGAAGGGAAGCCACCAAATGCCGAGGGCCAAAAGGGCGGCGGGGATACCCTGGATGTAGGAGGGCAGCTTCCAGGCAAGGTCAGACTGGTCGATGCCGGTACCGCCAATGTAGTTGCTGCCGTATCCAATCCAGAAAGACAACATGATACCGAGAATGGTGGCGAATTGGTAGAAAGAGACGATGAATCCACGCATCTCAGGAGCGGCGAGTTCGGCGTTGTAGAGAGGACTGCGAGAGGTTAGTCTGGGTGCGCCAGAAGCGTACACATAAAGCGAGAACTTACCCAACACCGGAGAAGGTTCCGACGCCGAGACCAGTGAAGAATCGGCCGGCGTAGAGGAGCTCGGGCTTGTGGTAGCTTGCGCCAGTGTACAGGTAGCTACCGAGGACAACCCAAAGACAGGCGGAGAACATAGTGTACTTGCGAGAGAAGACCTCGCCGAAAACACCAGCACTGACGGAGCCCAGGATACCTCCAAGCTGGAGAATGGAGGTCAACCAACCGGTGGCGCTGGAGGAACCGACGACGGACGGGAAGTTGTCCTTGAAACGCGTCATGACGAGCGATTGGCCGAGCACACCTTGTTGGTATCCATATTCGAAGCCACCGAAGCTGTTTCCCCAGAGTTAGCTGGGTCACGGGCACACGGAAAGAAGTATTGTGGCGTTGTGACACCGAATGATCTTCTGGAAGATGGAAGAGACTTACGATGCGAACAGCGCGATGACGACAATCTTGGGGTTGGAGGCAATGGTCTTCCATCTGTTCTGGTAAGCCAGCTTCGTGCGCGCCTCAGCGGCGGACGTCGCTTCGACAGCCATCGTAGTGACAGGGCAATGGCCGAGATGTGCGTCGACGATCGAGAGAAGGCGATTGAAGGCTCTCGTGCTTGTGCTGGTGAAACAAGCAATCGCTAAAGACGAGCCGAGTAGACACGATGATTATGGTGAAAAGCATGGGATGACATCGGTACTTATTGTTACGGCGATTGACGCTAAGGACTGCCTTCCTGGGCGGGTTGACAAGGGAGACATCCTCTCGTGATGGGGCCGTTTTTGCCTGATCGGGATTGGATGTGTCAGGTTTTGATGCGACTCTGTTTTGAGGGCTCTGCAAACTCGAACGAGATGGGTCCCATGCTCTTGGTTCGTGGGCTACTTTTCGTATTATTGTTGCGCGGTCCTGCTAGCTTTTTCGGTCCTACTGCAGCTAGTTGGACCAGACCGCCATCATCTTGCATGCTCCAGACTCACCCGCGTATATGGGGATTTCATTGTGATGGAATGGTGTGCAGCGTGTTCCTGAATCTGGGGTTGAGTAGGTCAGCCTGGAGGGAGGATCTGACATGCTTGGGTGCTTATGTTGACCATTTTCGGCCGTCGGCGTTTACCAACAAGCGATGAAACTGCTCTCGTGAACGCTGATCGGCCAAGTTTGGCAGTCTTTGGCATTCGCCCAGAGAATACCGAGAGGCGGAGCGTTGCACAAACGACCGCCAGCATCTCCAACCCCCTCAGAATCCTTCGGCACCTCCAACACGGGGAAGAGTGCGGTGTGTACTTGAGTGGCGGCGCTTCTCCGTAATCCCCCGTGGACGTCTCCGTACCCCGCTCACCCGCAAAGCGGCACTGGAGCGTCGAAGGGTCTGGCATATCACACGATTTACTGGTCCACCCCCGCAGCGGGTTACAGACAAAATTTGAGGAAGTGCGTGCCCCTGGTTGTTTGCGAGGTCGGAAAAAAGAGCCCGGAGCTATCGACCGATGCGGAAGTTGGCCGAACTGTGGATCAAAACAGAAATTGTAACCACCCCACCAAACATGAGAGACGAACCCGTTCGTGACTAATCGAACCTTTGAGTGTGCCCATGGGGATCTGACCATGGGGGACTTTTTGGCTTCTGGGGATCCCGCTGGCCCAGATTCACCTCAGTAGAGTTGTGAGGGGAAAATCCACACCTGCAACCCCCAAACGCGGGCAATCGGCCCTTTTGGCAGACAGTAGATCGGCGGTCGTTAATGTCGAGGGTCGTCGAGGTTAGGCTCGGTCGTGAACATGGCCGCCACGTTATTTCGATATTGAGGATGAGAGAATCTCCAACGATCCAGGATGTTCGTCGCTGGATGAGAAAAAGTCAAATTGAGCCGCACCCTTGGCGATGAGTCCAGGACACGCGCTATTACTCAAGCGCCCACCGCTCGATGCTTCCAGACGCGCAATTATGGTTGTCGATTCCGAGATGCTGGATTACAGGAGTCATGGAATCCCTGAGGTCTGGTGTTCGTTGACTAAAAGTCCCACTCAACCGTACGCTCGACCTTGTTTGTTCGGGACAGTCTTTCACCGGTCCCTGTCATCCAAGAAAATTTCTGCACCATCAGTCTGCCGGAAAGAAAGCGGTCGGCTGCCAGTCCCCGGTCGGCAGGGCCCGGCCGAGAAACCAAGCCTTTTGTCAAGGCCGTCATCAACCGTTCTCGACCGACGCCGCGGTGTTCTCTCCGGCTGTTTTGCGTCCCAGTAGACTTTGACGCTAATTTGTTGTCGGTTTGGCAACACGATTTCGATGTCTTCGGGACCGCATCGATGCA